GTGAGTAAGTGAGTAAGTGAGTAAGTGAGTGAGTGAGTGAGTGAGTGAGTGAGCGAGTGAGCGAGTGAGTGTATATGTGTGTGTGTGTGTGCGCATGCGTGGGTGTGGGTGGGTGGGTTGTGTTAGCGTGTGGGTGCGGGTGCGGGTGTGGGTGCGGGTGCATGCGTGGGTGTGGGGTGTGTGGGTGGGTGTGGGTATGTGTGGGTGTGTGGGTGTGGGGGTGGGGGTGTTGGTTGGTGGGTGTGGGTGGGTGTCTGAGTGTGTGGGCGTGTGCGTGAGCTGCCGAGGTCAGACGGCCCAGATTCACCCTGATGGGCTCGTTTCACGAACTGTGCCCACCTTTGACCTTTGCACGCCAAAAAGGTTGCTTCGGGATGTTGTGGACTTGAAGACTAAACAGAGTTGCAAAGAGATGAAAAGGAGGAGAGAGAGGAGCGACTTGCCCGCACGCCGCTGTAGCTGTCGGGGCTCTCGTTCTTTCCGGATGGCGCGTGACCGACTGCTGGTGCCCTACTTGGAGATCCGCGAAACAAAGTCCAAGGGCCGCGGCGTCTTTGCAGTCGGAGCCCCGGAGTTTCACAAGCCGCTGCCGGAGTCCGGAGCAGAGCGCTGAGCTGAGCGTAGCGGCGTAGCCGCTTCGCAGAGGCCTCGCGGATTCCTCGCTTCGACGCGGTGTTGACCGTGCGGATTTGGGCCGTCGCCTTGGCACTTCCGGCGCGACCCTTCCGCTGTCGCTCCTGCTTCCGTCCAGGGCCAAGAGAGCGAGTGAACAGAGCGAACAGTGCACCGGAAAGGGGCCAAGGCGCCAACCCTTACTTCTTCCTGCCCAGAAAAGCACACGACTTTCCGCCAAGGGGCCAGTGGACACGGCGCGCTCCAGGCCTGCTCCGTCTGCGGCGAGGCTTACTTCTGTGCCACTTGCCGCCAGTCTGCTGAGACAGAGGACCGCGAAGCCTAACGGGATTTTTCGATGGCTTTAAACTGTAGTTTAGTCGCCGCTGCAATTGCCGCCCTGCAAGATGCTGCCCACAGAAATTTGGAATTTGGACTATTGGACATGCTAGATGTTGCAACTCCGGTGTTTGGCACAGCCTGGCGGCATCAAGACTTTCAAGTATACCCCATTACCACATACCGGGGGCCTAAGCCGTATAAGCCAGCGAGCACAGATCCTAGCAGCTTGGCCAGGAAAAGCACAGGCACGAGTGTCAGGAGCTCGGAACGGGGTTTTAGGGCAGAAGAGGAAGAAGAGGGCGCGAAGGCCGCGCGCTGGGAGTCCTTTTACGGAGAGAGGCCTGCTGCTTCAGCGCCTGGAAGGCTTCAGCTCCAAGGAGGCGCGCGCTTTTTTTAGATGTGGAGCCGAAGTGTTCTCTCTCCCGTCGTGTCTTAATTTGAATGTTTCTCCCTTCTCCAAAAAAAGCGCCTCCAGGTTCCGACGGAAGTGCGTGCGAACGTGGCCTTGCTCATTTCCTTGCATGCCTTCCTTCAGACTGAGCCAAGAGGCCCCCACTGCTCTGCACACTGCCTCCTCAACGTGGCTGAAGAGAGATGTACGTCCTATGCTTATCGAAGTATACAACACATCGACATCTGGGTGCCACTTAATTACTTCCACCGAACAGTCTACGCATAGTCTACACTACCAGCTACCAGGTTGAAATCGGGCATGAGGGGGAGAGACAAAGATTCGGGCTTGCTGCATCACCTTGTTTCTATGCAAAGATATTCGCCTCGGCATTGCCCTCGCCTCGCAATGGTAGTCGCTGTAAGGAACGTTTGTGAGTCGGCCTGCTGCCCTCGTGTTCGGCGATGCATTCGGCTCAATCTGATGGAGAGAAGCCCGGAAAGGCTCCACTGCTCGATCTCCTGAAGCATTTACACTGCTGTCGGCCGGGTGCTCTGCATGTTGAGCCTCGGTGGCTCCAACGCTTGTCGTGCACGCAAAAGCAGCTCGCGCTGTTGCGGGCCATTCGCCCATGCTAGCAAACCACTGCCGCCTCCCTTTGTGCCCTCGCTTGACGGTATGAGCGTAGTTAGTCCTGCCGCTTTCGCTTTCGCTTTAATGTTCTGTTTCTGCACGTTGCCGAGGGGAGTCTGTCAATAGTCGGGTGCCTCGAAGATCCCTGCGGAAGCCGCGCAAAAACTGTCGGTTCACATGGATGGGGACTTATAGATTCTGTCCAACGTTTCCTTCAGATTGCCTGAAGCGGAGCAATGCAGGATTCAGTAACTATCCAGCTCACGAAGGATCCAAGAAGGGGTTTCTTGTGGGCGCTCGTCTTTTGCGGAGAGGAACCTTTACTCTTCCGCTCCTCGTCTCGCAGTTGCAGAGACAGTGCAGATCCTCAGAGCTCTGTGAGCGTGAATTCGGTGAAGGTGACACCTGCACTCTGCACATGGAGCCGGTGATTGTTTTCTTAGCACCAGTGTGTGACCTGGAGTCCTGCAGGCAACGTGAGCGATCTGCTCGACTTGGTGCAAGAGCCGCTGTCGCGACCGGGTGCTGCTTGGCTGCTGCAGGTGAGCCAGACGTGCACACGCACAAAGTCTGCAGCACCGATGAAGACAGGATGTCATTCTCCCGTGTCGGCGAGATCACTTTAGCAGCAAACAGCATGTCGGAGGACAATCGAGTGAGACTGCATGACAAAAAACAGACATGAATTGCAAAGGTGCAAACGCATCATGCAGGTTTGTCTTGTCTTGCATTAACGCCGCCTGTCGACATTAAGGACAACCAAAGACCAATACTCAGAGCAGCGGAAGCACACGGAGCACAATGAAAAGCGCCCTGACACACAGAATTAAATACCTGGGAAACGCAAGCAGATTTGGCCCGACAAATCGAGAAGTGCATCAGCAAGCCGAAGTGTTGCAAGGGTTGAGCGAGAGCTGCTAATTTCTCCTGCAGTCAACTTGCTTCACATTACAACATTGGAAGCCCGCCAATCGCAGTTTGCTCCCCCAGACATCCTGGCATTGAACACGGTCATCAGCAGCATGACCGTATTTATATCGGTGGCTGAGCACTGCCGGACCGCCGAACACCACTTCGATGCCGACAGAACCACGACTCAACGGACCATATCGGGCGTATCATTTCCAAGTTCTAAAAGTGTGAATGACAATTCAACTTTTTGGGTCGGCCCAATCACGGCCGAGCAGCACATCCATCATCCAATGACCGAAATCTCCGGAAACCTCATCTCGGAAGCGGTGTCGGGAGCAGGGGCCTCAAGGAGCCGAGGCCCGGCGCCGCGCGCGGCTTCGGGCCGCGGCTGCGAAGCTCTTCCTGGAGATCCTCGAGGAGACGGCGGAGACGGCTGACAAGAAAGCGGAGAGGAGGAGCCTTTATGCAGCGGAAGTCCTCACCGCCGCCTTAGCGGCTCTGCCGCTGAACGCCTTTGGTTTGGGACCAGAGGGTCGAGACGGCCACGGTCTCGCCCCGGCCGCTTCGAAGCTCAGCTGAAAAGAGAGCTCTTCGCAGCCGTCGCAGCTTCACTTGTAGTGGCCAGTGGGCTGCCTTGGCCTCTTGGCCGAGGTACATCAACCATAGCTGCGTGCCCAACTGTGTCGAACAGATTGGCGAGGGATGTGTTCGCTTCTTCGCGCTACGTGACATCGAGCCGGGCGAAGAGATCACGTGGCTTGTGCGGCAGAAGTACGCTGCGTCTGTCCATAGAGCAATCCTGTTGGCAGTGCCGCAGGTTTGCATACCTGGACCTCAGCTTGCCGCTGGAGGTGCATCGCAGCGCAAGAGCGAGCGTCAAGAGTCAAGTCGCGACGAGTGCCTGCTGCAGCCGGCAGGATCGGAAACGCCTTGTGAAGACCAGGCCTGGCCAGGCCTGGATTGCTCTCGGACTTCTTGAGCGTGCCCTGCTGCAGCTGGGACTTCTCCTGCGACTGCGCTCGCTGCCGACTCGGGCCGGGCGCAGAAAGCCAAGAGAAGCCGTGAGTTCTGCGCTGAGTTCTGCACGCAGGACTCGCTGCGCAGAGGTCTTGGCTTTTGACGAAGAGCACCTCTGCCAGTGCGGCGCGGTCCTCCTCCGGAAAGAGAAAGAGCTCTGCCGCTGCGAGGAAGAGCAAAAGCCGTGTCGGTCGTATCGGGGGTGTGTGCGGGGAACGCAGGGGAAGCCGCCAGGCCGGGGCTCCACTGCCTCCACACGGAGCCTCCTTAAAAGAAACAGCCTCCACCCGCCCAGAAAGCAGACATCTTCTCGAAAAGCCGATCAGGGAAAAAATCCACACGGGAGACTATCACTTCGAAAGAGAGAGGGAGGGAGAGGGAGAGAGACCCTTCATGCCCATAGCCCTGGGGAAAGAAAGAGGGAGAGAGAGGCTTCAGGGTCGGACCGCCCTGGGGGTCCCACCTCGTCGCGAGAGAGAGAGAGAGAGAGAGATTTGTTCATGTCTGCCAACAGCCATGCAACGGCCCAAAGATTGGCCTGTTCGCGTAGCATTCTTCGGCATGGTTTCATGCCGCGTTCCGGCGACTCGGTCTCGGTTCATTCAACATGGCGTGCCGTCACTTTCGAGATGGCGGCTTCATGTTTGCAAGAGCACGGCGGAAGAGAGCTTTGGCAGAGGTCCTCGTAGTCCACAATGCGAAGCCGTGGACTTCTGCAAGAAGTTCCTTTCTTCTGCTGGCGTCGAGGGCCTCACAGCGTCAACGGATGGTTGTGGAGTCACATGAGAGCGGGTCAAGGTGACTGCATGTGCCTTCATGGTCCTGAGAAACTTCAGGCCGTCTACTCTGCGCGAAATTTGAGAGAATGGGTTGCTTTCTTGTTAGGATGACCGCAGGCGGTATCTCACTGCACGGAGGCGGGGCACACAAAGCATCACGAAGGAAGTGGTCATCTCAAATCATGTTGTTGGGCCGAGGCGAGCTCGGCAATCCCCGCATCGAAGCCACCAGCATTCCCATGTCGCCTGCAGCGGGTTCTCCGCAGACAGCGACCACGCACCTTCCGAGAGAAGACGTGAAATCCTTCGTGGTACAGCCCTCCGTGCCTACGACTGTCATGGGCTCTTTACCCTTGGAGTTGGCAACAACTGCAGCACCAGCAGCGGCAACTACGGGCTTCGTTTATGACGGCCACTTCCTTCACAACCTCAGCGCAGCACGGCCGGGGTACCTCCCTTAAGCTGCCAACGGCTGCCACACTGCAGCTTTTCACTGGCATTGTGAATCGTTTTTCTCAGGTGCCGCGGTTGCTGTAATTCCGGTGCTCAAATCGTGGCGACTCGACAAAGGCCAGAAAATTCTTTACACATGCAGTTCACGGGTGCAACCAGGATTGCCTGAATGTGGAGAAGTGTGCAGCATCTGGCCCAGAGAAGGGCAAGCCGGCTCCCCAGCCTTCCTGTGGCATGCAGAAAATGGCATCGTGGCACCCTACCTGACTCGATTCCTCAGGTTTGCGCTGGTCTTGAGCCATTGGGGGATGCCCAGTGAAAGCATGCTTCAATCCATCAGAAGCATGAAAGCCAGTGGGCCAAAAGAGGAGAAATGCCGAAAGCATCCCGGCTTACCGTAAGCGAGCCCCACAGGCTGCAGCTGCGGCGGCCAACTGGGCAGACATCTTGCTTGTTATGCTGCAGAAGGAGAGACATTTATCAAGCTCATAGTAACCAAAGAGGCAGTGCACATTAAGTCAGGACGCCGATCGCATCTCGTGACAGCCTCTGACTCCCTGACACTGACACTGAGACCCTCAGAATTCCTGTGAGCATCCCAAAAACTTCGACAGGCCGAAAATTCAGAAGCTACTTAACAGATGGGAGATCAAGAGCTCGCCTCAGTGTTTCTGAGTTGCCTGCAACTTGACATCGAGTAACGGAGGGATATGCGATGTGCATACTTCTGCATCTTTGCAGGTTGCATGTCGTGGACTGGGATGTACCCCCTGACTCGATGTTCTATCCGAAGCATGATTGGTGTGGCCATCAGGCTTGGTCGACGAGTTGCAGGGTGCTCACGTGTGCTTATGTCGTGCTCGTGCCAGGATCTGATTCGCTTGCATGTACTGGCATTAGACACATATGATGCCGTCGCCTATTACGTCAGGGACTTGGTTGGCTAGTCGGCTGCTCCCACTGTGACCGGTGATCTGCAAGTTGAGGATGCGGACTGCGAGTTTCAGGGGGACATCACGCAGTTTGGCAGTAGAAGGGAAGAGGGAAGCAGAGGGAAGGGCGCCGCGAGAACTCTCTCGCTTGAGCGAGGCCGGTGCTGCGCTGCGCGGCCACGGGGAAGCTCTTGACCACCAACGGCGGCGTGGGCGAGCCCGGCGCTCAGCGCTCCGAGAGCGGAGTATAAAGGCCGCTTTTAAGGCCGCCTCTCCGCGCGAAAGGAAGGGGGATGGGCGAAGCCTGCGGCTCGCAGGTCCTTGAACGTGGGCTTCATCGCCGTGAGGCGCCGGAGACTTGCCTGCGGCCGTGTCCTGACTGGGATCCGCCGCGGCGCGCGCCGCGTTTTGTCCATCGCATTCCGCCGGAATGCGTGGCCTTTCGGCGCGAGCTCTCGGCGTTGAACAGACAAGAACAGGGCACCCGGTCGTCAGCGGGGTATGAGATGTTATACAAGCCCAACGACGGCACATTTCTCGAGAGGCCCGACCGTCGTCTGTTGGAGGCGGCCCGACTCTTTGCACGGAAGAACAATTTCTCCGTGCTGAAACCTCAGGACAGAAGGCATAAAAGCCTATAAGGCCTCTCTCTCTCTCTCGCTCTCTGAGGCAGCATGGCTGGGGAAATTCTGGTTGGAAACCGCCTGGAGCCCTGCTCACCTCTCTGTGCATCACGGCTACAACCTTGGTTCGAAAGCGGGAAATCCCCGAGGTGTGGTGGCTACTTTGTCGGAGGTGAGTGTGGCCTCCACCTCGAAGCCGCTTCGGGACCTAGTGTTGAAGTGCTCGGTGTCTCTTTTCAGGCCAAGGTTTCATGTACAGCCTCTTCTACTCCGGGAGTGACCAGCTTAGGGTTTGTGAATTGCAGCTTCTCCAACCTCAAAAGGGAGCAGAGGGGAGATCAGAACAGAAGGCAAGCGGACAGGTTCGAAGACAGCTTCATAGACTGACACGGCTTGAGTCTGCGAAGTTTATCCATAGCATGCCCTGGGTAGGGATACAAACAAGGGAGCAGCCCACGGCCACAGGTCAAAAAAGACTGAGGTCAGACGACGCCAGGATCAGACGTCATGCCCAGTCGAGGCTACACAAAACAAATTCACAACAGACAAGTTGTTGACACTGTTCCACACCTAGCCGCACAGGCACCTGCAGATCTAGAACCAACAACCACCTGTTCACGAGTGAAGAGGATATCGGAAAACAACGGGCGACATCATCAAAACAAGTTCGGAAACCAATTAGGGCAATGTCGGAGAACAGCCTGACACAAACACACAGCCAGAATCAGAAAACAGCACAGACGAAATCAGAAAACATAACGACATAACAGACTGGGAAAACAAAAATCGGAAAACAGCACAAACAAAATCAAAAACAGCAAAGAGGGCTTTCCCTTCATTCACAGACAGCTTAGCAAAGAGGACTCAGAACAATGTGTGTAAGCACCCCCCTGTTTTGCCACACACCGGGAGGTGAACGAAGGCCGCGCTCCTTTCACCCCTCTATTTTGGCCACAAATCGAGAGGTGAAGGAAGGCCGCGCTCGCTTCATCCCCTCGGTTTTGGCCACAAACCGAGAGGCGAAGGAAGGCCGCGGACCTTTCACCCCTCTGTCTTGCCCACAAACCGGGGGCGTGAAGGAAGGCCGGAGTCCTTTCACCCCTCGGTCCTGGCCACAAACCGAGAGGTGAAGGAAGGCCGCGGTCCTTTCACCCCAAGGTTTTGGCCGTAGTCCGCGCTCCTTTCACCACTCTGTTTTGCCGTTTTGCCTACCGAGAGGGAAGGAAGTAAGGCCGCACTCCTTCCTTCCTCGGTTTTGGCCACAAATCGAGAGGTGAAGGAGGTTGAGAGGTGAAGGAAGGCCGCGCGGTCCGTTCACCCCTCGGTTTTTGCCACAAACCAAGAGGTGAAGGACCTTTCACCCCTCTGTTTTGGCCACAAACCGAGTGGTGAAGGAAGGCCGCGCTCCTTGCACCCCTCCGCTTTGGTTACAAACCAAGAGGTGAAGGAAGGCCGCGGTCCTTTCACCCCTCGGTTTTGGCCACAAACCGAGAGGTGAAGGAAGGTGGCCGCGCTCCTTTCGCCCTCGGTTTTGGCCACAAACTCCGCGCTCCCTTCACCCCTCTGAATTGCCCACAAACCGAGAGGTGAAGGAAGGCCGCGCTCCTTTCACCCCTTGAATTGCCTACAAACCGAGAGGTGACTTTCACCAGGCCACGCTCGCTTCATCCCCTCGGGTTTTGGCTACAAACCGAGAGGTGAAGGTCTGTTTTGGCTACAAACCGAGTGGTGAAGGAAGGCGTCGCGGTCCGTTCACCCCTGGGTTTTTGCCACAAACCAAGAGGTGAAGGAAGGCCGCGGTCCTTTCACCCCTCTGTCTTGGGCGCGCTCCTTGCGCCCCTCCGCTTTGGTTGCAAACCAAGAGGTGAAGGAAGGCCGCGGTCCTTTCACCCCTTGGTTTTGGCCACAAACCATTGGTCCAAGGAAGGCTGCGGTCCTTTCACCATTCGGTTTTGCCCACAAACCGAGAGGTGAAGGAAGGCCGCGGTCCTGTCCCCGAAAGGCCGCGGTCCTTTCACCCTCGGTTTTGGCCACAAACCGGAAAGGTGAAGGAAGGCCGCAGTCCTTTCACCCCGCTGTTTTTCCCACAAACGGGAAGGTGAAGGAAGGCCGCGCTCGCTTCATGCCCCTCGGGTTTTGGCCACAAACCGAGAGGTGATGGAAGGCCGTGGTTACAAACCGGGTGGTGCGCTCCTTTCACCCCTGGGTTTTGGCCACAAACCGAGAGGTGAAGGAAGGCCGCAGTCCTTTCACCCCTCTGTTTTGGCTACAAACCGAGTGGCGAAGGAAGGCCGCGAAGGAAGACCGCGCTCCCTTTCACTCCTCTGTTTTGACTTCAAACCGAAGGAAGGCCGCGCTCCTTTCACTTTCTTGGTTTGGCCACAAACCGAGAGGTCAAGGAAGGCCGCGGTCCTTTCACCCCTCGGTTTTGCCTACAAACCGGAAGGTGGAAGGAAACCGAGAGGTGAAGGAAGGCCGCGGTCCTGTGACACCCCTTTGTTTTGCCCACAAGCCGAGAGTTGAAGAAAGGCCTTGCTCCTGTCACCCTCGGTTTTGGCCACAAATCGCGAGGTGAAGGAAGGCCGCGGTCCTTTCACCTCTCGGTTTTGGTCACAAATCGAGGAGTGAAGAAAGGCCGCGCTCCTTTCACCACTCGGTTGTGGTCACAAATCGAGGGGGAAGGAAGGCAGCGGTCCTTTCACCCCTCTGTTTTGCCCACAAACCGAGTGATGAAGGAACGCCGGGCCCCTTCCACCCCTCTGTTTTGGCTTCAAACCAAGTGGTGAAGGCCGCGCTCCTTTCATCCTCGGTTTTAGCTACGAACCGAGATGTGAAGGAAGGCCGCGGTCCTTTCACTTTCGGTTTTGGCCACAAACCGAGAGGTGCAGGAAGGTCGCGGTACCTTTCACCCCGCTGTTGTGAAGGAAGGCAGCGGTCCTTTCACCCCTCTGTTTTGGCCACAAGCCGAGAGGTGAAGGAACGCCGCACTCCTTTCACCCCTCTGTTTTGGCCACAAGCCGAGTGGTGAAGGAAGGCCACCGTCCTTTCACTCTTCTGTTTTGGCCACAAGGGTGAAATGGGCAAGGCCTTCCGTCACCTCTCGGTTTGTGGGCAAAACAGAGAGGTGAAAGGGCCGCGGCGTTTCTTCACCTCCCGGTTTGTGGGCAAAACCGAGGGGTGAAAGGACCGCGGCCTTCCTTCACCTCTCGGTTTGTGGCCAAACCAGAAGGGTGAAAGGAACGCGGCCTTCCTTCACCTCACGGTTTGTGGTCAAGACAAAGGGGTGAAAGGAGCGCGGCCTTCCTTCACCTCTCGGTTTGTGGCCAAAACCGAGGGGTGAAAGGAGCGCGGCCTTCCTTCACCACTCGGTTTGAAGTCAAAACAGAGAGGTGAAAGGAACGCGGTCTTCCTTCACAACTCGGCTTGCGGCCAAAACAGAGGGTTTTTTCAGGAGAGCGGCCTTCCTTCACTTTTGCTTTGTGGCTAAAACCAAGCGGTGAAAGGACCTTCATCTCTTTAATTAACCAAAACGGAGGGCAGCGCGGCCTTCCTTCACCACTCGGTGAAAGGACCGCGGCTTTCCTTCACATCTCGATTTGTGGCCAACGCCGAGCGTGAAAGGAATGCGGCCTTCCTTCCCCCTCGATTTGTCACCACAACCGAGCGGTGAAAGGAGCGCGGCCTTTCTTCACTCCTCGATTTGTGACCAAAACCGAGAGGTGAAAGGAGCAAGGCCTTCCTTCACCTCTCGGTTCGTGGCCAAAACCGAGGGGTGAAAGGAGCGGCCTTCCTTCACTCGGTTTGTAGGCAAAACAGAGGGGTGAAAGGACTGCAGCCTTCTTTCACCTTTCGGTTTGTGGCCAAAACCGAGGGGTGAAAGGAGCGGCCTTCCTTCACCTCACGGTTTGTGGCAAGACAGAGGCGTGAAAGGAGCCGGTTTGTGGCCACAACCGAGGGGTGAAAGGAGCGCAGCTTTCGTTCACCACTCGATTTGTCGAAACAGAGGGGAAAGGACCGCGGCCTGCCTTCACCTCTCCATTTGTGACCAAAACAGATGGGTGAAAGGAGCGCGGCCTTCCTTCACCTCTCGATTTGTGGCAAACAGAGGGGTGAAAGAATTACGGCCTTTCTTCACCTCCCGGTTTGTGGGCAAGACAAAGGGGTGAAGAAACCCGGCCTTCCTTCACCTATTGGTTTGTGGCCAAAAACCGAGGGGTGAAAGGACCGCGGCCTTCCTTCACCTCTCGGTTTGTGGTCAAAACAGAGGGGTGAAAGGACCGCAGCCTTCCTTGACCTTTGGTTTGTGGCCCAAACCGAGGGGTGAAAGGACCGCGGCTTTCCTTCATCTCTTGGTTTGTAACCAAAACGGAGGAGTGAAAGTAGCGCGTCCTTCCTTCACCATTCGGTTTGTCGCCAAAACAAAGGGGTGAAAGGACCACGGACTTCCTTCACCACTCGGTTTGTAGCCAAAGCAAAGGGGTTGAAAGGACCGCGGCCTTCCTTCACCACTCGGTTTGTGGCCAAAACCCGAGGGGATGAAGCGAGCGCGGCCTTCCTTCACCTCTCGGGTTGTGGCCAAAAACGAGGGGTGAAAGGAGTGCGGCCTGCGGTTTTGCCAACAAACCGAGAGGTGAAGGAAGGCCGCGCTCCTTTCACCCCTCTGTCTTGCCCACAAACCGTGAGGTGAAGGAAGGCCGCGCTCCTTTCACTTTTTTGGTTTGGCCACAACCCGAAAGGTGAAGGAAGGCCGCGCTCCTTTCACCCCTCGGTTTTGGTCACAAATCGAGAGGTGAAGGAAGGCCGCGCTTCTTTCACCCCTCGGTTTTGGTCACAAATCGAGAGGTGAAGGAAGGCCGCGGTCCTTTCACCCCTGTTTTGGCCACAAACCGAGTGGTGAAGGAAGGCGGCGCTCCTTTCACCCCTCCGTTTTGGCTACAAGTGGTGGTGAAGGCAATCCGCGCTCCTTTCACCCCTGGGTTTTGGCCACAAACCGAGAGGTGAAGGAAGGCCGGGGTCCTTTCACCCCTTTGTTTTCGCCACAAACCAAGAGGTCAAGGAAGGCCGCGCTCCTTTCACCTCTTCGTGTTGGTTTCCAACCAAGAAGTGAGGGAAGGCCGCACGGTCTTTTCACCCCTCCTCGGGTTTGGCCACCGCGCTCCTTGCACCCTTTTGTTTTGGCCACAAACTGAGAGTGAAGGAAGGCCGCGGTCCATTCACCCCTCGGTTTTAGCCACAAACCGAGAGGTGAAGGAAGGGCCGCGGTCCTTTCACCCCTCGGTTTTAGCCACAAACCGAGAGGTGAAGGAAGGCCGCGCTCCTTTCACCCCTCTGTTTTGGCCACAAATCGAGAAGTGAAGGAAGGCCGCGCTCCTTTCACCCCTCAGTTTTGTCCACAAACCGGCAGGTGAAGGAAGGCCGCGGTCCTTTCACCGCTCGGTTATGGCCACAAACCGAGGGGTGAAAGGAGCGCGGCCTTCCTTCACCTCTCGGTTCGTGGCCGAGACCAAGGGGTGAAAGGAAAAACGGAAAGGCGAAATCAAAACACAGACGCAGGAAGATAAGAAAACAGGGCGGACAATAGGCCGCGGTCCTTTCACCCCTCGGTTGCGGCCACAAGCCGAGAGGTGAAGGAAGGCCGCACTCCTTTCACCCCTCGGTTTTGCCCACAAACCGGGAGGTGAAGGAAGGCCGTCCTCCTTTTACCTTTCTGTTTTGGCCACAAATCGAGAGGTGAAGGAAGGCCTCGGCGGTCCTTTCACTCTTCTGTTTTGGCCACAAACCGAGTGGTGAAGGAAGGCCGCGGTCCTTTGGCCCTTCTGTTTTGGCCACAAACCGAGAGGTGAAGGAAGGCCGCGGTCCTTTCGCCTTTTGGTTTTGGCCACAAACCGAGAGGTGAAGGAAGGCCGCGGTCCTTTCACTCCGCTGTTTTGCGCACAAATCGAGAGGCGAAGGAAGACCGCGCTCCTTTCACCCCTCGGTTTTGGCCACAACCCGAAAGGTTTCTCATGATGAACAACAATTACTGCAAACCCCCTGGTTTGGAATATTTGTCGGGCCGCTGGCTGCCCCTGCGCAAAGCTTTCGTGAGCGGCTTCGACAGCGCAGTTGTGGGCTATCATAGAGTCCTAGGGTATATCTTCAAAACTCGATCGCAGCTGCATGTATTACTATGGCATTTCTTTTGGTAGTTTACTGCTGCCAAAAAGCCTTTTGTGAAACGATCCCCCAGACTCAGCGTGCAATTCAAACTACGGGGCAGGCTCCTTTCCAAGTGTTGATCAAGAACGGATGCACACACGCAAGACTGCAACTGCCTGCAACTGCTCAAGGAACGTAAGACTGCGGCGACTGGGAGGAAGATTTCGCGTGAGGGAGACAGGAGGGAGTCGTGGGGTCCACAGCCTGCTTTTGAATTCGCGCCGCCGAGGGAATCACACAACGCGGGGGCCATCCACAACTGCATCGCGCGCTGCGTGCTTCCTTTGTCTGCAGATGAGAGAGCACCAAACATGACAAAGTTTGAATAGTGAGCCGCAGTCCGAATTAAGCGTGGAAGTTGCTCTCGAGTGTCTTGGATGTTCAGAAATCGTAGCCCTCACAACCAGCAAGACGTCGATGTGTCCGGCCAAGAACTGGAACCGCCTAGGCGCATCTGCCCGAAGAGCTTTGGAAGGCCACATGCAAGTGCTTCGCTCTGAGCAACACCGGTAGAGGCATGGACGAGACGTGAGACAGGTGCCGGAGTCTGGGAGAACGGCGTTTTCCAAGCAGCCGGACCCGAAGCCTTCAAAGGGTTGTGGTCGAGGAACTGGCTGGAACCGCCATCAGGCCCAGATCGACCGGTGCATTTGGAATTACCAGACCAGCTACCAGTCGCTCGGCCGCAAGGCGAATTGCACATGGGGAATGGTGTATATAGATCAGGTGCCGGCCAGACTTCGACTGCGAGCGAGTGCGTGTGCATCACAAGCCAACGAGGCCCACACTGCCCGGCAGAAGCAATTGTCAAAATGCTCTCTGGCACCAGGGAGCGCGGCACGGACAGGAACGAGTGCGAGAAGCTCCGATTCAGGGAAAAACGCAAGGATCAGTTCCTGGCTGCTCCCTTCACCCGCCTCCTTTTCCGGGCATCCGGGCCATGCCGACCTGGCTTTGCGTTGATTGAGGAGATGGCGCGCCGCCGGCGCGAGGAGCGCAAAGTCCAGGCAGGAGTTTGGGGAGAATTCGGCGGAAGGATGTAGGCTGATTTGTTGCCTCTGATCTTTGTTGCGTCTTGACATGGCGCGAGGGCTTCAGCTCCGAGGGTGTTCTGCTCCTGCACTCGGGTGGCTTCTGTGTGCATAGCTCAGATTCACTTAGCGGCTTAGCGAGCCACCATCGTCGGGATGTGTCCGCCGGCGGAGGTTCGACCTTCAGACGAAGCTTTCGGGCAAGGTGCGGTGCCACGGCCCAAGCCTCGTCGAAGCCGCGGTGTCGATGTCGCGGGGCTTCTCGCGGCGGAGCGTGGCGAGGCTTCTACTCAGAAGCTGCGCCCTTCCACCCGCGGAGCAAAACCTTCACATGGTACCCGTGGATGCAGACGACGACGACGAGGAGTCCTTGGGAATCGTGCAGCTGCGCATCGGCTGGGCTCCTAAACATCTCCAGCTTTGACGAGTACCTATACCCAAAGACACCAGTGTCAGCGAGCCCTGCGAGTGGAAGCCCGAAGTCGCAGCCAGATTTGCAGATCTTGCAGCCGCCAGTCGTTTGAACTGTATCCGGAGACAGGAGCACTGCTACCTGGCAATGGCAGCAACATTCTGTTAAACGTTAGCCATGAGGACCTTGCAGAGTCGAAGCTTAAGTCAGGCATGTGTCCTGTCGAGGCCGGCACTGTGCATACCCGCACGGCGACGACATGGACGCCGAAACATGCCAGAAATTTAGCTATGCCAGACGGTCCATGCTGGAGAACTTTCGCAGCCTTCAGCAAGTTGACTCTCACAGCCATCCAAGCACTTTGAAAAGTCTGCAACACATGAATAGGGAATGCAGGTTGTCTGAAGTACACCGGAAGGAGTGAGTGCTGCGGAGGTCCGGGGAGGGAGTGAAGGGAGGGCCTAGGTCCAGGCTGCATTCACGCAGGTCTTTTTGCAAGACATCCCCGAACCTACATGAAAACAAAAGCGTGTTTCAAAAAGGACTGCACGAATAATGACAGAAATTTTGAAAGCACATAAACAACATGTATGACATGGCATAGTATAATCTGATATGCAAATCGCTCTTTGTGCATCGAAA